TAATTTTTGGGTTCCATAGTAGATCTGATGTAAATGAGTTTCATATTAGCTATTTTTATATAGGGGTAGTTCTATATATCATTTAACAAATGGGACATTATAAAACTGTTGATTATTATTATGATCACATTACAAATGACTAAATTTTGATCCCTGAAATCCTTAGTAGTGCAAATGTTCACTTTGTCTGGTTTTGTTGCAGTATGCCCCATATATGATATTAATTAGTTTTGATCTACATTAGTCCAAAGACATTACCACGGATTAAATAATTTTTTGTTTATTATAAAAAAGATACATAATTAATTATACATTCCAAATTTACCCAAAAGGTCATATTAAAACGGGAAAACAAATTTCCTTTCTGATCTGTTTTTCTTAAAACATGATTTTTTACCACATAATTGTAAGGACCTCGGAAACTTCTAATTGAGGTCCCAATCAATTTTCATATTAAGGGTTTATTATAACAAATTCACCCTCTTAATATTAGTATGTAACATTTTTTTAACACCATTAAAAGCATATCTTGATCGACATTTGCTAATATAAGGCCTTATAAACTTCGCCCATAATTATATATAGTTCACTATCTATAATGACCCTTCTGTTTCAGCAAAGAAACCATTATAGAGAGAGATCGTTATATGAGGCATATGAGATAATTTCAATTGGGCCCAAATTCTCAGTCCGTTATAGAGCGAAAACCATCATAGAAAAGGCTGTTATGGAGAGAATGAACTGTATGTGTTTCTGTTTTTGAAGAATCCACAAAATAAATAAATGCATCTTTCCTTATTGAACTTTATTTTTAAACATATTCAAATAAAAGCTAACACAAAACATCATAAAGATCCATATAATGAGCAAGCTCTTGAAGTATTAACAAATAGTATATTTTTATTAGAATAATTTAATTCATTCGATTTTAAATAAGCTACATCAAGCTATTATATAAGATCATATTAACAATATGTTCCTCAATTAAATGTAAGATAAAGTGTTTGTTTAAGTATGCATCCCATCTGCGCATATTTTTCATTTTTCATATTGTATTAGTATGTGGTCATGTCTGAAATAAATAAAATATGAATTATCTTTTGTTTGTATGTGATTTATATTATGTATATCTAACTTCATAATTTATTTACTTAATTTTTAATATTACGTTAATACCTGTTTATTATATTTACACTTTTGCAAAAAATAATAATAATAGCGAAACATAATTAATTTTCTTTAGATAGAAGGATCGAATTAATAAATGAATGGTACCCTTTTTTTTCTCTTCTACTTCATCATAAATTTTTACAGTGCAGGTGAAATGCCTGCTTTCTTCCTCTCTTCCTTTTCATCATTATTTTAAACTATTATTTGGTTCGTATGTGTTATATATAATTCATTATTTTATTCTATTCATTACTTATTTTATATAATAATAATTCATCTTGTATAATAATATCTACCTTATAATGATAATAAAAAATTTTTTTTACCTTGTATATTTTATTTTAAAAGAAACATTTCATTTAAAATTATATTAAAAAAATGCAAATTTCTAGTCCATATGTTCGTATCTTAACATCTCTTCACAAAAAGAAAATAGCAGTCAATATAATCATCACATTCTTGATATACTCTAATTTCCCATTTACCCATTTTTTATGGACTTTTTTTTTAAGGGGAATTTAGTTTTTGCGCCTCGTGTGTAACCGTGGCTTTTTTCCCCAAACATAATATATAGAACCATTAAAAAAGTTTTATATCAATTTTTACTCATTCTTCATTGGACTTTTTTAATGTATCCATAATAATAATAATTCTACCCTATCAATCAAATAACGGTGACATTTTCCAACTTTGATTATTATTTGGATATGATGAATGATCGTGAATATCCAAGTCCTGATTTATCGTCATCATCAACTTCTCCGGATCTCGATTATGATAATTATGAATTTGGATTTGATAATAATAATAATAATAATGAAGATTATTATTATAATGACAATTTTGATTTTGAATCACCATCATCTTTAAATATAAACCAAATCGAGCAAAATTCAAGCACCGGTAATGATAATTTCGTCAATACAAATGAATCAACAACTACAACGTTTGATCAAGATCCGGATTTAAATATTTTCGGACTTCAATATCTCAATTTTTAACCTTTTTTTTTCGTGAATACGTTTAAAAATCTTTTTTTTCGCAATAGATTATTAAACAGTAAACTTCAAATAATATGAAAATAATTATAGGTAACTACGAATAATAATATCACATTATGTTTTAAAAAATAATATAAATGCACATATAGAGAGAGATTTTTTTTTTTTAACCCAAATTTATGTAAATAATCATGTAAATTACATAGAAATTTATTTCTAAGAGAGTTTTTTTAAGCTATATATTATAATAATAATATATATATTTATATTTATTATTATTATTTATGAAATTTTTTATGATAACATTAAATC